TCCCTGATTCTCCCTCTTTTTCCGTGGTTTCCTACGTTTTCCTCTGTTTCAACGTGTTTTTCTATGTTTTTCCTTGATTCTCCCTGTTTTCCCGTGTTTTTTTATGTTTGCCCTTGATTCTCCCTCTTTTTCCTTGTTTTTCTATGTTTTTCCCTGATTCTCCCTCTTTTTCCGTGGTTTCCTACGTTTTCCTCTGTTTCATCGTGTTTTTCTATGTTTTTCCTTGATTCTCCCTGTTTTCCCGTGTTTTGTATGTGTAATCAAATGGTGACGAGTGAAATTAGGGAATAATTTCACGCGCGTTTTGTCCAAATCCTTATAATTTCCCGAGCCTTTAGGCGAGGGAATTATTAGAATTTGGACAAAACGCTAGTGAAATTGCTCCCTAATTTCACGAGTATACCATTTGATTACCTATTAATATCATGGGTGACGAATTACGTTAGCAGTCGAGGATTTTTGACTTGTTTATCCTGGATCGTATCGACCGATCGTGAACTCCACTCTCAAACGTTCAGAGCTAAGATTTGGCTTAAGTTTTCAGAATTTTTCGACAACATACCTCTAAGAATCCTTCCCGATGTGCTCTTTCGTGTGTTCAGATTTTCTAAAGCGTCTTTTTATGCCCTGACATCTTCATTCATGACATTTTAAAACTTCGTCGCAATCTTGAAACGGAGACGCACGGCAGGTTGCCGTGGCAATTTAGTAATTTCACATGTGAAATTACAAATTAACGCTGAAATTTCGCGCCAAAATTAAGGAGTAATTCGTCACCTATGATATTACCAATGTTATTCTATGTTTTATCCTGATTCTCCCTGTTTTTCCGTGTTTTCCTACGTTTTCCTCCGTTTCCCCAAGTTTTTCTATGTTTTTCCCGATTTCCCAGGTTTTTCTGTTTTTCCTTGATTCTCCCTGTTTTCCCGTGTGTTTATACGTTTTGCCCTGTCTTCCCATGTTTTGCTATGTTTTTGCTTGATTCTCCCTGTTTTTCTATGTTTTTCCCTTATTCTCCCTGTTTTCCCGTGTTTTTCTACGTTTTCCCCTGTTATCCCATGTTTTTCTATGTTTTTCTTGATTCTCCCTATTTTCCCGTGTTTTTCTATGTTTTACTATGATTCTCCCTGTTTTTCGGTGCATGTTTTCTACGTTTTTCCCTGCTTCCCCGTGTTTTCCTATGTTTTGTATGTTTTCCCCATGTTTTAGTATGTTTGTGCTAATCAGAGGCTCGTTTTAGATCAATTTAAAGGTAAGAATCGGTGTATTTCCAAACCACGAAACTGATTTGGCTTTGACAATTCATTTTCACTTACCAAATACACAATTAGGGCTTCTCGTCAACAATATTTGGTTTGTTTATGGCCTGAATTATGCTCAAAATTCCATTTTGCATCGCCTTAGAGGGGCATGGAGTTTTTGTTCCAAACATTCAATAAACCATAATAAGCCAAATTTTTCTGATTTTGGTAATTGGGTGACTAAAGTAAACAGTGGAATAGGTATCGAAGTTATGCGAGAAGGCAGGGGAATATAGTGAAATTTTGGCTATTTTGGGTTGTAATTTTAACATCAATTTTGACCAAAGTCTAGCCCCAGGCTCCTCTCTGGATTTTTGGTGCTCAAAGGGCAAAAAATGAGACCCTCCCTGTAACTCCAAAACTAAAAGTGAGAGAAGTGAGCCGAAGTGGCTTTTGAAATATCTCATCACACCCAACTTCTGTGCCAAGTTTCAGCCAAATCGGTTGACCACAACTTTTGGCCCCTGGAACACTTTCTCAGACAATGACACTTAAGTAAAATGGCCGGTTTCAATATAAGCTTAACCTTAAATGAAAAGCAAAGTAGCTCCGACAAAAAGCACAACAAAAGCTTACGTCTCGTTCGGTTTTTCCCTTTCCGCTGTTGTTTCGCCGGCTCTCTACCGTTTTCTTTATCGACAGTGAAACAAACGAAACTATTCCACTCCATTTCCGAAATGTTTTTCACTTTTTTAGCGAGAAAACTCTTTGAGTAAAACTTCTCTCGTTGAATGTTTGCGAAGCAGTGCTACAAGCTGCAATGAAAGGCGGGAATTTTTTGCGCGAAACTCACACACCTCTGTGGCTTCTCATTGGACGTATCATTTTTCTCACACGTGAAAAAACGTCGTTCGCGATTCTGATTGGACGTATCATTTTTTTTTTCACGTGTGAAAACCATCGTTCGCTACTCTGATTGGCTAGAACTAATTTGCGTACGAAAATTTACGACATAGCTTTTTGGTGAGTATTTCTCAGTATGTATATCTAGCCGGATTTATGAAAACCGGACCATCGGACTCCAGGAGCCCACACAGCTTCAACTGACTCAACTAGAGTAAATATTGCCAAGAAACTCAGCGCTTACCCATGGTTCTCTTAAGGTGTCTCTCTTCTTGGTTCCTGATTAGCAAAAGAAACATTCAAGTCCATCAAAAAGATACTCTGGACTTGTCCATACACTCTAGCTGCTTAAAGGCCCTAAATGACGGGGGATGCTTGAGAGTTAAGCAAGTTCTAAGCAGAGAATTCAAGGTTAAATCACCCCCCTGACTTCCTCCACCCCCCCCAGCCTAGCACGTGCTTGAGGGAAATGCTTTCATTGGCCAATGGGCCTCAAACGTTATAAGAATTTGACATGACAAACTAAAGGCAGACATGACCAGTGCACTGACTCTCCCAGAACAGGACTAACGGAAGGGAGAACGCTTTTGCAGCACCCTCCCCCCCCCCGCTAGGGATTGACATGGAGGCCCCTTTCCAACCCATGGCCAGTTAGCTCAGGGACTGAGCTTGACAATGAGACCAACCAGGACAGCAAGCCCCCTATGTTTTTTCTCACCGCAGCAACCAGAAACCTGGCTATCGCCAGCTTTCTGTGCGAATATTCTTGCCCATTTTGAGGTATGTTTTCAAAAATTCGGCTAGATATAATACACTGTTTTAAGGAATGTATATTTTAACTTGCGGTTTTGTTTGAAAGAAAGTTTTGTTATTTTGTTAATTGATGTAGGAATGAGGTTTTCCAAATTCTCATGTTGTTATCTATTATGTATCAGACCCCTTCCGGGTCATTGTCCCTGGAATGAAACTCTCCAAACGCAATCGGTTCAAATCAAAAGCTGGGAGCCCCTTGAAAAACTAAAATGCCCAAAAACTTTCTCCAATTAGCTCGCGTGGAAGAAAGCGATGTGGTCTTGTGACCCTATGAGGTTTCTATTTTGTTGTTGTAATTTCATTGCTGTTGACAGAGCGTAAATAAGTGTAGCCCCCACGCAGGTTCAAAAAAGGCTCAAGAGGACTGTATACTTTCAATACATGCAAGTTATAACAGTGTACAATGGTCACTAGTTTAACGATCAGACAAAAATTACTCTTCTAAGTATGCAGGGCTTTTTCTACTGTGCTTTTGCGCAAGGAATTGTTTTTAATTAAAATAAATCACATGTAAACTAAATTCCCGATTGTACTGTACCTAAGTTAATATTGCAAACTCGCATGTTCATGTTCATAACATCATTTAATTGTCGACCAATGAAATCGGAAAGTTTGGTGAATATAGGTGCTAATCACACCAGCCAGCGGATAAAGCGGTCTCGCTAATTTCAATTCACCTTTCAACACACGTGTCAAGACAAAAACAGGACGAAAAAGGTACAAAACAATCGAAAACAAAAAGAAAAAGGGGGGGAGGAATGGTGGCAAAACCGGAAAACAGCTGAAAACGTAGAAAAGAAGGGAAAAGAAGAAGAATCAGGGGAAAAAATAGGAAAAGAGGGAGAATCAGGGGAAAACAGAAAAACACGACGAAAACAGGGCGAATCAGGAAAAACACAGAAAAACATGAGAAAACAGGGAAAATCAGGGGAACACATAGGAAAACACGAGAAAACAGGACGAATCGGGGAAAAACACAGAAAAACATGTGAAAACAGAGAGAAAACAGAAAAACAGGGAAAACAGAAAAACACGGAAAAACAGGGAGAATCAAGGAAAAACATAGAAAAACATGGGAAAACAGGGGGAATCAGGGGAAAACATACAAAAACAAGGAAAAACAGGGAAAGTCAAGGAAAACAGAAAAAGATGGGATTGTAGCTATGAAAATATTTGTTTTCCCTCCGCTTTCACAGGCATCTTCTTTCTTTATCACGCTTACTTCCATCACTTCATCATTGAAAATACGAGTTTCTTTCACAACAAGTGTATCATCATTTAACACACGGAACCAATTGTCGATGTCTTGGATGGCAATGGTTTGAGTTCGATGTTCGTTTTCACCAAATTTGCCCCAGACGCTGGAAATACAAAGAGGGAAACAATCAAACGTCTTTTTAATTGTTATTCTTAGTCCTCATTTTTATTCTATAATTACCTGTTCAGCATAAGTTTCGACAGCTGTTTTCCTCCTGGGTTTTTGGCTACGTTGTCAAACTTGATGCCTACTCTTACTTGGAAATTGCTCACATACTCGTCTTTTTTCCCTTCTGTATCACAATGACTTGGCCAACTGCTCGCCTCTGTCTTGTACTTTAACCAGGTGTTGACATAAGGAGTAAATAACCCCACTTTTTGTTGATCTTCAGGAAAATGCCAGACTTCATGAATTTTTAGGATACGATATCCCTTCTCCACTGCTTTCTACAACTCTGGGGTACACCATGTACCTGTCATTGTTCGCTCTTTGTCTGTGTGAGCACACATATTGGTCCGCTCAAACCAGTGACGATCCAATTGATCCTCTACACATTTCGTACACAAGGGAAACATGAGTTTTCCATTCAGCTTCACTGGAAGTACTGGGTGTAGCAGTTTTTCTGGGGCAATTACGTCAACTTTAGCTAGACCAAAGTAATTGTGAAAGTTGTTACTCTAAGGGTTTACTATAATAGTAGGATGGCCAGTAGGATACGTTCCATACTTGTTGATTGTTGGATACAAACTCGTGAAATCTTCACATAGAATCTGCTCGTTGTCTTCACCTTTGTGATAACATTTTGCCAACCCTGTTCTACCCCCATAAAATGCATCACGTGGATCAAGTGGCGAAACCCACGTCATGGTCTTTAGCAGCTCTTTCAGGTCATTGTTGTTGACTGCTTTTCTAAAGTCGCACTCCCAGATTTCTATCACCGTGTAACCTGCTGCTTGTAACAAGTCAGTTTTTCTAAGTGTTGCTCGATACGGTTCCTCCACAGTGCGATCTGGGTGATGAAAGGTGTTTTTGTGGCGACCGTTTGGCTTACATCTCTTGCAGCCATGAAATTCACAGCCGTGAAATTCATGGACGGTCTTGGTGATGGGATCATAACCATCCACTTTCACTTTCCCCCTCTTTACTTGGATCAATTGTTCTCCACCATTGCGTGCGTGTTTGATACGATTTCCACCAAGTTGTTTGTCTTGGTAAGACAGCCATTGAAATGCGACTTTACTCTGACTCGTTTTCAGACCTCCCCAACCATGTAAAGGTTCTACGGCAATGGTTTTGGGTTGCATTTGATGATTGCGCCAAAAGTAGTGACACGTGGAGGCAAATGTGATACCCTGTAAAAGAGGGTTGAACCCAGCATCACGTTTGGTGTCCTCTGCAAATTTGAGACAGCCTTCTTTCATGAGTTGGACATCGCTTTTGCAATACGATAGTAATTCATTGCGAAAGTTCCAAACCTCTCCTTTCAATACTTCGTTTGCATGCCAAGTTTCACATTCTTTTTTCTTGTCTACCTTCATATGTTTGGTGTTGTAATAACTTAGGTCTGGAATCATGCCTTCATGCTCTAAATTCTCCAACTTGGAAAACTTGTGAGGAAACCAGCATTTTTTCAACTCTGTTAGTCCAAAAGTCTTTGTGAAATTGGTCAGCGGCATATTCAGAAAGGAGAGAGAGTCTTTAAACACAAGATTTCTGTGCTTGAAATGTAAAGCTTTGGTGCCCGTTGCCATGATCTCAGTCACTTTCAAGTTCATCTTGTAAAGCGCATCTATCATAAAACAGCCATCAAAACCTTTCAAATTGTGAAAGAAAATATGTAGCTCTTTGGTGTCTTCTTCCTTCTTATCTTGATTAGACCAATAGATCATGGTTTCAATGAAAGTTTGGATACAATTGGTACCCCAATGATGATAAATAGTGTCATCGTCATGTCTTGCATAACAGATCAAAATAGGTACGAATGTGTTGCTGCTATCCAGTAAACATTCCACATCAGCAAAGATCATGATTGTGCTTGGCTCCTGTTGTGATGTTAAATCTTCTTCTTGTTTTTGGTTTCTTCTCACTTCACGATCTACCATGTCCTGTGTAATAGCCTCCAAGGCTACACCCCTTTCTTGCAATTGCTGTATCGCTCTTTCACATAAATCGTCTAATCGTTGCTGTTCTCTTCTTCTCATTATTTCTTCCATAGGAATACCATTGTTGATAGCATTCAATTCGTCAACCTTTCTTTTACGTTGTTTCATCAAATCATCAATTACTTTCTGTTTAAACTCATCCTTTGCATCCTCTTCTCCATACAATTCTGTATACAGTTTTTCTTTCTCTCTTTTCTGCTTTTGAAATTCTTTTAAGGTGCGTTTAGAACATTTTTCCTCCTCAGAGGTGATGAAACATTTATGTTCGTAAATGTTGACATACTCTAAGCAATGTTTACACATAGCACGAAGACATTTGTGGGATGTGTCTTCTTTTACTTTATATGTTACACCACAATCTTTGCATTTACGATATTGATCACAAACACTTATCATTTTCACTCTGTCCGAAAGATCCTCGTCCAACTCATCCTCAATTAATTGTGTCATAATTTTTAAAGATGGGTCTTTATAAGCTTCTTTGATCAGGTGATTTTGAATACAGACTTCACCATAAAACTCACGTCTACAAATGATACAACTTCTATCTGGTTTTACCCCAAAGGTAAAATCTATACAGCCTTCGTCGTCATCCGTCTTTCTTCTTAAACAACCAGGGCAATTCCTCGCTCACAATTATGATGGGCGCTATTTTCTGTATTGTACCCCTTACAGCAGCGATAACAAAAGTAGCTGCGATTCATGAAGCCTGAGATGGAATACAGACCATCATAGTGGGCTTTCAAATCTCCCTTTTCATCTTCATACACAGATTTCACTATAGCAATGATCTTCTTAGCTTCTTTAAATGCGTCACCTTTAAAAATCACGCCACCTCTACAAGCGTCTACCACAATTATTCTGTAGCCTTGCGGACCAAGGTAGTCTTGGAATTTGTCTATTTCCTCCAAACCACAAAGACCTTCAGCTACACCTGCTTCGTCATGTAACCTCTTAGCTTCTTTGAGTTGCTGTGAATTTTTTCCACGGTCTTTATGAATATTTTGAAAAGTGTTGTGTTCACCAGCTTGACGTTTGGCATATTCACGCATCACTACAATGGCTCTTGCACAACAGAGGGAATCTTTTTTTTTGATTTCACAGACACATCTAGATTCTTTCACTAAGTGACTCCAAATTTGACCTGGACCACCGCCTGCTGGTTTACCTCCTTTCATCTCAGGTCGGGTGAATAAGACTGAGACTGAAAACCCTATATCATTAGTAATGAACTGCGCACTGTTTAAAACATTGGAAAGTTTCTGCAACAAAGCTTGTGCATACGCGGCTCTCCCTGTGAAATCACCCACTCGTACGCCCCAACTCTCTCCAGTTAAACCCTCTTTTACGGGTTCACGGCTTCCTATTTGCAATGTCATCCAATAGTTATCTGGGATTTTGAGGTCTTCGACCAGCTTGTCAATTCCAACTGCTATGGCATGTGTTGCTCCAATATTCAAATCTTCATTTTCTTTTAGTCCGCGTTTTTGATCTAACGTGAGAATGAACTTCTGGTTCACCGCGGTATTTTTCTTCCAACGTTTGCCTGGACCCAATTTCTTGAATTCAGCTACATAGAGTGGATCTGGACCACCACCGTATGTGTCAGTGGAGTCTTCTGATTTATCAGCTACCTCTTCTTTAGAAACTTTTATATCAGATTTGTTATCTCCTTGATCAGCCCCACGTTTTTTACCTTTAGTAACTTTTACACCAGGTTTGTGATCCCCTTCATCAGTCTCGCGTGTCATTCCACGGGTAGTCACAGCCCCGCCTGTCTGTTCCTCATTACTCGAGGTACTCCTTATAATCGAGGTACCTTTTCAGAATTCAATAACTCTAGACGTAAGAGCTCGGCACCTTCTTCAACTTTCCGTTTTGCTGCTTCAGAATGGAATTTTTTAACGTGGGCAGTCATTTTGTCCTTCCTCGAAAACAACTTGTCACAGTGTAAACATGCAACTTTCAAATTAGTTCCACAATATTTCTTATGACGACAAAAGTCAAATCTGTTCTTGTACTTCTTGCCACACTTTGGACACGGTCTCGAATAAATAATCGGCATGGTGATAGCTGTGATCAGTACAACGTATCGTAATCAAAATGAATTATCCCAGCGTTGTCCCCTTTTTATACGCTATTGTAATCTAAAAGATGACGTCATCATCTAAAATAGAAACAAATTCTGCTGGGTCAGCAAATCAATGTGTGAAAACGTGCTCACTGTCATGACCAAGACATTCGATTCGAGGGATTAATCTAAAAGATGACGTCATCATCTAAAAATAGAAACAAATTCTGCTGAGTCAGCAAATCAATGTGTGAAAACGTGCTCACTGTCATGACCTAGACAATCGACTCGAGGGATTAATCCATCTGCATTGAAACCTAAGTTACAGTTCACCCTTCTACTTTTTGCGCGACCACTCTATTGAACCCTAATCACCGCCCTCAATGGAGTTAACCCTAAGCACTGCCCTCGATTGATTTAACCCTTAGCACTGCCCTCGACTGATTTAACCCTAAGCACTGCCCTCGACTGATTTAACCCTAAGCACTACCCTCGACTTGTTAGAGTAAGACAATTCGCCCTAATTATGTCGGTCTAAACACTTTACTCAATTTGTTGAGTTAGGGAATTCGCCCCATTTACGTTCGCCACAATTTGTTACCCCTTTGTTGCCCCCCAGTTGTCCCCTCATTTTTGTCCGTCTGTAGACCCCTATCTTCTTCTAAGATGTTTTGCTCTGCTGGGAAAACTTATAAGCTGTAGCTTAAGTGAGGAGGAGAGGGTTGTCCGTCTTTTCCAGATTTTCTCATATAAGCAAAAACTGGAAGGACTTTATCGAAAAGTACCGATTCAAAGAAAAAGTCAAGGCCCGCTAAAAATGCCGGTGAAAGTTTTAATTCAAATTCTTCGAGAGCAAGAAGTTGGACAAACAAAGGGAGTATAAGGTGAATGGGCTCATTTTTAGGGTTCACATTTTTGAAGATACGGACCTTTGACGTCGGGAAAATTGTGTTCAGAGAAATGGAGGAGGCAAAAATGAAGTATGTTATCTGGAGTGAAGCAGCCTATATCGAGATAGACAGTTTTTAATATTAATCAGACAATTTGCAAATCTATGTGCATAACATCAACATGTTTGTCAAACTACTATAAAGTTAAATGACTTCAATTCATTGAATAACATTTCCCTCAAATGTTTTTGGCAGTTCACGAGGGCGTTTCTTCAAAAATCACTGATTAAAAAGGGGAGAAGTGCAAACTATCGTGGTCTGAACTAAACGTCTTCAGCCTCCGTTGACTATCTAAAATTGCTGGCATTTTTTCTGGTCGTTATTAAAACTTTTGACTCAAAGGTTAATTGTAAGTAAGATCAGTGAATATTTAAAAAACATCAGTCTTGCTTAGTTCAAATCCACAATGCTGGGGATTCTGCCATGACAGAATTATTAATAAGGGAAAGGGTAACGTTTGTTGACTATTATAGAGATGATACAAGTCAAAAATACATTTCAAAATTCGTACGGATGAAATTAATTAATAAATAAGGAAAAATCAAGGTCTTGTAATGAGTGCAAGCGTGAAAATTTTAAGAGAAATATAAAAATGGTTTAATGTTGATCGTAAGCAATAGAAATGGATGGAATGTTGAAATTTTCCAATCAATTATAAAAGTGAATGTTACAGGAAAATAGTTAACGTTTGAGCGCTTATTGGAGCAGTTGTATGATCTGTGACTTATGATTCCCTCGACTGGCTCCTCATTTATTGTTTGCCTCTTTTTCAAAATAATATCAGTTTCTCAAGATCTTTCAGGCCATGTAGAAGCAGATAATAAGTTAATAATACCGAATTTCCACAAAACCAATATACACAGATTACTTGGTTTTGTTTTGTAATTAACGTTTGCCTTCTTGTTTGTGCATCGATATCCTTTCTTTGTAAATTCTCAGCACTTTATTCCCCCTCCCTGGGGAGACGGAATAAAGTGCTGAGAAAAAAATGTGCACAAAAACTGACTTGACCGGCGTGACTTGCTCAGCCTGAGAAGCGAATTGTTTTTATCTCTCTTTTGTTTTTCTTCTTCTTTCCTTCATTTGTTTGTTTGTTTTTTTTTTACAGCCTATTAAGTTCGGTAGTTAATTGAAACCGCCAGAATCAATTCCAATTTTTCTGCCGGTTCGCTCTGAATCTCGCGCTTTCCATCACTGAGTCAGGCTATAGGCGTTTTCTTTCACTATCCGGGTGATATAAATGTGCGCATGCGTAAGGTACTGGCCATAACGCAGAGTTGTTCTGAATGTGTGCTTCAGCTCTGAAATTGGTCTTGTTTTCTTTGGATGCAGGAATGTTTTGGGTTGCCTAGCCGTTATGTTAATTATTCAATCGGCGACAAAATTTATTCAGATACTTTGCTGACTTCAAAGGGGAAATGAAGCTTGCCCTCGCTTCACCCCCTCTTTGCAATGTCGTGAAGCTGTTTGAGCAACTCGTAAGAAATACTTTGTTTTGTTCTCAGAAGTTACCCATTTAAGGACAACGTCTATACAATTTTGTTGCCGACTTTTGGTTGTTTCGCCCCCCTCCCCCCAACCCTTAAACGCCCACGCTCTCGCCATTCTTCCTCAGTGATAAAGTCAAAGATGGCAGCCACGACAATACATATGCCATGCTGATGAGCACCAATAAGGGCTAAACTGCCTGGGTGATATGGTTGTGCGCATGCGTAAGGTAATGGCCATGCCGGGGAGTTGGTACGTGTGCTTTTGTGCTTAAAGTGGTATTGTTTCAATAAGAAACAGCTTATTGCTTACTGTTTTGCTTTATAAATCTCGATGCGTCAAACCGAATGCTTTGCATTTCCCTTTAGCAGAATAGTTGTTTACAGGGAGCTTAAGGAAAGGCTTTTTTGAGCTAAACAAGTAGACCGGAAGTGGAAGTTTTGCGTTCTATGGCAGTGGTTTGGCCCCAGCTTTCCGGGCAAATCATCGCTGTGAGATTAAGGTTCAAATTTGTTAGCTTCAACACACTTAAAAAGGGACAACGTTCCACGTCTGGTTGACCTGCATCGCTGAAAAAGGCCTTAATAAAACTCGAGCTATGTGTAACGAACAGGCAAAGGTCAGGTTTTAAAAACCGGCCGAGGGAGGAGAAAACGTGGAAAAGAAAGAAAACTAGGTTTGTTCAGCAATCGAACGAGGCTCTAAAGCAGATGAAAGCTTTTTAACTTTATGGACTCGGTCTTTAAATGAGATTAGAGAAATGTCACGAAATTTAAATACCCCGCCAAGTTACGAGATTAATCCCTGGCAATCTCCCCAGCCAGACTTTGGTCATAGACTGGAAACAAGGGGAGTAGCTCGGCTCATTGGGCTCGTAAAGTACTGGATCCCAGTTGGTTCAACATGGCGGCAAAATGGTCTCCCTTGGCCTTAAAGGAGAGAAGTGAGAAGGCAGAGAAGCTGTTTGAAAGAAGCCAAAATTTACAAAAAATCAATCGAGGGACTGTCAAAATTAAAGAGGAAAATATTAGCTGAAGTTAAGTTCCTAAAATCGGTTCGTATTATCATCAATTAGCCTACGTACAATTGTAGCGTCACATGCATGTTTGTTAAAAATGATTCTGTCGTAGAGAGCATCCTTGACTTCTTGACGCGTACATCTGAAGAACGTAACGTGGTCTTGGTAGTGCTAGAGTGTAGTGTTCTGAAACAATTCGCATGTTTTTTTTTTCAGCTAAACATTGATACAACGCCTTTGAAAGACTCCACAGTCGGCCCCGACGTAGTATGTGTCACTGAATGAATATATTGATATTCACATGGACAAATTAATGCGATGAGTCGTCGAAACTCCCATGAACTAAAATAGTCCAAAATTCAAAATATAACAAAACAAAGCTAAGATACCTTCAACTGAACGTATCCTTGTCTTTCCTGGCCGATTTAAGTGGCATTTTGTTGAGTTTTGCAATTGTAGATACTATCTACTAAGGAAGAATTAAAGGCTGGCTACAAAACAAACGGACCATCTCCACGCGCCTTCACACGAAGCGCTACAAATTCGAGAATAATCGACGAATCCGCCCCAAATTGCCATCGGCTAATCTGCAGGTAACGTGTGCTCCTGCTTCTTGCTCGCTCGCAAAACCCATCGCAACTGCACAATAATTGCTCGCTCATCAACAACCACTGTTGACCTTTACGCTTCGATATGACCGCAAACTACCAGGTTTAATACGCGACGTGAATATTCAAGCTTAGCGACCGCGTTCGCGCAACAATGCAGCACTTGCTATGGGAGGGATGGTACTATTGCTTCTAGGTCAATCGACACTGACCGAAGGTTCGCTGCGTTAGTTTTGACCAGAAAACAAAAGGCGATCGCGCGACCGTCCGTAAGTTTTCAACAGGGCGGCCCTGGTTTTCAAGTTCGAATTCTTCTAACGTTCGCTGTCACAGCTGCTGTCACATTGTTCGTCCAGCCGCTTGCCTAGGTTCTTGACTCTACTAGACCTATTTGCTTAGATTAATTAAATGAACAGTTCTTTCCAGAACAACGTCTTACTCCACAATATGTTGTCCAAACTGGTGAAGGAGGACGAGAATTTTCCTCCAGGAAAAAGGCAAAATCTGGCCTTGGCTATGCAGCTGAATAGAAGATACAGCTGAAGATATCGCAGAGTAAAATTTATGTGCGCGATATCTTTTTTTATTATTATTATTCTCAAAACTCAGGGGCACC